TTGCTTTTGTTTTTCTGTCTTTCTCTTATTTTGTCTTTGCTTGTACATTTTTTACTTTGCATTTTGCAAAACACAAAGCAAAACATCAAAAATGTATGCGAATTTGCAAGTTTTTGAGCTGTTTTTGTTTTCTGTGCTCAGGCTGACGTAAGTGACCAGGAGTGAAATTTCACCTCCTTAGCAAAGCGCGAGAGTGCGCACGTGAATCGGTTAATGGGCCCTTAATCAAGGGAGAGTACTCAATGCATTGCCAAAGGCACAATAATGTTAAGGGGGTCCTTCTTATAACTACAAATTGGTCATGAATTTGTTGCTGTAAGGAAGTTTTCTAACCATTGTTTTTGAAAACCAGATCTCCTAAGGATAAGCTTTTTGTGCAGGTTGTTCCATTGAAGAGTCCTGCAAAAGTTTCAAATCATGGCCATACATGTATTTGACCAGTCACATGACCAGAATAGAAAAAAACCCTAACGCTTTAAAGACATCTTAATCCAAAAATTTAAATCAGTGTCAATGGATTAAGAATGTCCAGGTGCTTAAAGCTGTGCACCATAAACGTTATGAGGTAATAAACACTGGTATTAACAGACTTTCTTCAGTAGCTTTCCTTTTACATGTAAACAATAATTCCATACATATGATTTCAAAGAAGGCTGAGTTATTTCTTATTCATAAGAAAAATCAGAACTATTCCTCTTTTCTTCCAAGTTTTAGGGATTTAAAATTCTAATGCGTGGTTTGGGATTAACACTAGTTATGCACCCGAATTCATCTTTTTGCAAAGCAAACATTCCCTTGTATAAGATTCACCATTAATTAGCACTGCAAAATGCTCCAAAACAACTTTCCTCGAAATGTCGCCATTAGCAATCCCTGTAGTTAAGGAGGACCACCCGCCCCTTAATAATACAAGTACAAAGCAATGTGTCCCAACATCTATATGTTTACAGTCATGTATTNACGCTGGTGTAGCTATGGTAATGGTGTTACTCTCTTAGTTTTCAAGGTATTGGCGTACAGATGTACGGACGTACAGACAGTCACGTGACAACCAAAATTTTTTAGATCGATGGATTACCAAATTTTCTAAGGTATGGGGCTCTGCTTGTGCACCTTTGGCACGCAGGAGCTCCGCTAATAAACCACTAATTAAAAGAATCGTGTTTGACATTTAGAAAATCAGCTTCTATGGACAAGTAACTGGTTCTTATTCTCTAGTGGTGGTTTTACGTCAAAATTGTTGCTTAACTCCCCATGAAATATAACACACACCTTCCAATATTGGTCATACTGTAAATGACCTAATTGTCACGGGCATCTGTTAAATAGATGCTTCAATGCAATTTGGGGGCATGTTTTTAGATAGAGATGTTATTAACTTTTAAAACATTGAACTGAAACTGTAACAAAAATATGGAAATGTGATAACAGGAATTAAAGTGCTCCATTAAGGCAGGTTTTCACAAGGGTACATGTATAAGCCTAAGCAGATGCAATGGTAAGATCTTGGTGATTACTGTACATGTAGTGCCTTTTGTCAGGCAAATTTCCAAACTAAAGACTGTCTGCGTATGTCGCTTATGCTAATTGCCCATAATCTGCTGAATGAAAACCAGCATAACCTAGCACAGAGCACTGTGTATGCAACTGCTCCAATCCTACAGGCCTAACAAGGTTTGCCCTGCCTAAAACACTGCCCTCGGGAGGCAATTGAATGTAGTTCAAATGTAGTGGTACATTACTGGTTACTAGTAAGACAAATGACACTTAGGTGTTGGCCTGGTACATGCCCTTTCCACTGTAGAGCTGTCAAGAGCAATAGCTGGTTTCTTGCTGCTTTGGAGATGAATTCCCTCTCAGTTAAAGTAGTACACAGATAAAGCACACCACAGAGCACTCTGACATATAATGGAGCAGGAAGTGATTTGCAAACCTTTTTACGTGTTATTTTATGTGATTAAGGGGCTTCTCCTTAACTACCAATTGCTCAATGACATGAATTTGTTGCTAAGGAAGGTTTGTAACCGTCATGTTTTGAATTAAACCAGACCTCCTAAGGATAAGCTTTTTGCACAGGTTTGTTTCAAATCACAGCCGTATTTGACCAGTCATGTGATCAGAATAGAAAAAACCCTAAAACTTAAAGGGCATCTAATCCGAAAATTTAAATCAGTACCAATAGATTAAGAAAGTCCATGTGCTTAATGATACATATGTGTTTTATGAATCTCACATTTTTGTAAAAGTTATGAGGTAATAAACCCCCATATTATTTTTATTATTATTATAAGTAATATTACTTATACTATCAGAAAATGTACTCCAAGTGTTGTAACATAGACGTGTTTGTTATAGAGGTAGAACAAAAGCTGATCATTGAAAGTCATCTGAAGAGAAAGATTTTTGCATGAGATGCCTCTGACTTTAATGCATTCTATACATATCTTATGTTATATAGTGACTATGTAAGTAAGATAGTGCTTGACTTGTAATTTTATTTTAAGTATGTTCATTGTAATTTTATGTTGTTGTAACTAATAAAAATATCTTTTTGTTTCTGCAAAAAAAAGAAAAAACACCTGTATTAACAGACTTTCTATAGTAGCTTTCTTCTTTTAAGTGTAAACAGTAATTCCATATGACATGTATGATTATAAAGAAGGCCAAGTCATTTCTGATTCATAAGAAAAATTGGAACTCTCCCTCTTTTCTTCCAAGTTTAAGAGATTTAAACTTCCAATGTGCAGTTTGAGACTTGCACTATTTATGCACACTTTTTTTCAGAGCAAATGTCCCCTCATACAGAATTCACCACTTAGCACTGCAAAACACTCCAAAATAGCTTAATTTCCTCTAAGTATTGTGCTCAGCAATCCCTTAGCAACTGCTATAAATCTGTAGTTACAGTAAGAAGGACCCCCTTTAAGTTAATAGTACATGTTCATCTTGAAATAGCTGTTTGACTACCAAATTTGTATATCTTATTCAGATGCTCATTACATTGCTGATTATTTAAAACTCAATTAAAGAATTTATTGTAATTTAATCGTTAGTTACCGGTAATTGAATTTCTTTCAATGGTGGTCTATTTCAGAGAAAGCAACCCAGGAAAAAAGTTGCACGTGAATATGTCCCAGCTTACAGATCAGGGCCATATGCACTGATGTTGACACTGTACCAGCAAAGTCAGGTTAGAATCAGTGGAATTTCTAGGGTAGCAGAACTGCCCTTTTTATTAGTACATGAAATAATTAAATGTAACTTTCTGCAGTTTGTTGCACTGGGGATTGGATGTATTTACCACTTGATTGGTAGGTAGGTCAAGTCTGCAAACAAGCCAAGTGGCTCATCAGGCCAGAGCTTATCCCAGTTTCTGTAGCATGAAGCGACTAGGAGTTTTTCTACTCTCGCCTGAATGGGATGCTAGTCCATTGCAGGGCTACCCCTCAACATTGAATTTGCCGGTACCCATTTTCACACCTGGCTGGAGAGAGGTACTGTGAGAGATAAGTGTCGTGGCCAAGAACAGAACATAATGTCCCTGACCAGGGCTTGAACCCAGAC